GACCGCCGCCGCCATCCTCGCTGCCATCCTCCGCCTCCGGCTCCGCGTCCGCCATGACGGCCGACGCGGGGACTCGAACCTGAGTTGCCGAGCGACGGCGGCTCAAATGTGCGTCACCTGGGAAAGGGGGCAGCTACGAGTGCCCCGCGGGCCAAAACACCTCGGAAGGCGACCGCACCTGTCGGAGTGGGTCGGCGGGCGGGGCCTGAGCTCGCCCCGCCCCGCCGCCGCTTCAGGGATAGGACCGGACGAAACTATCTTATTGCCTCCTTGTTATGGACGTACTTATCTTTCAGATGTCACCTCCTCCAGGAGTTGTCCAGGATCTCTCAGGCAGAAGTCTTCGAGGTTCCAGAGCCCCTGGCCTAACATCGCACTATCCAAATGTTCTTAATGTCAGTGCGTCAGGGTCACCTGAAGATCCTGTCTGGACAGGTAGACTCCTGGGCCCCACCTCCAGACCTTCCGATTTAATACAACTGAGAGGGGGTTCAAAGTGTGCATTTTTAACAAGTGGGCTCCCTAACCCCCAAATTGTTTCCAGGTCGGCCCACTCCTTACTCTCTCAACCCATACTGGGAGCACCTTGAGGGCCAAGGTGATACTTTTCACTCATTCAGTGCCCAGCAGTGCACACTCAGGGAACGAATGATGGGTGGATGACAATGAAGGAAGGGAGGAAGGAATAAGGGAATGAATCTCCCCGTCCCTCTTCGCACCTCAGTCCGCAGCTCTATGCCCGCTCTTCTTAGGCTCACCCTTCCCCCACCCCCCTCCTCTTTACTCTCCTGGCTCCGTGTGTCTTACAGCTGCTAGTGTGTGCACGTCTCTCAGTGAGGGCAGTAGGGCTGTTGGTTGACAAACATTAATTAAGCGTTTGTTGGGTGAGTTATCATCCCTGCCCTTGGAACTGTCCTGCCCTCTGTATCTGGTCTAGGCTGGAAAAAGGAGGAGGAAACTGGCATTTATAGCATAATAGGAGGAATGCCGCGATGCTCATAGTGGGGGAGGCTGGGGGCCAGGCTGGTGTCTGAGAAGGTTCCAGTAAACGTCCCGATTATTTTTCTCTCCACAGGAACATCATCATCATCGTCTTCATCCTCAGTACTCTTGCATTCACTATGCTCCCTGCAGTGTCCTAACTTAATTCATCAGTAGCCTCATAAGGATTGGCCAGAGGGAGATCGGATTTGTGGAATTTGTTTGAAATCCTTAATCCTGTCCTTTTTTTTTTAACTTTTGAAAGAAAGACATTCTCATCCTTTGATGTCAGAAAGGTCCCCGCTGACCTCTAAAACAATAACTGCCCCCTCACCTAGAACATAGTATCTCCTTTAACCATCTTCTTTGAGCCTGTTGAGCAGGAAAAAATTTTTTCTCTATCCTCTTATGTTCAGTCCCAAGAGCCTGTGAATTAAACAGGAAAAGATAGAGTAACAAGAGAAAATGCACATTTTAATAATATATTTTTATTAATGTACCTATAGGAATTCACAGAAAAATGTGTCTCAAACAGGCAATTAGAGTGTGGGGCTTATAGATTATCTTCACAGGGGAAAGGATGGGGGAGAGGGTGCTTACCGGAAAACAAATTACTTAGGAAAGATAAATAAGCTCTTAGGGAGTAAATGGAAGCTGTGATAGTCTTGTGACAATGCCTGTTTAGGTGTGATGACAACTTGTCTCCAGTGATAAGAGTCAGTCTTCCCTGATTGCTCCCCGGGAAGGGATTTATGACAACCTAGTTCTTTTGGAAGGCTCTGCTCTAGGCAGATGAGACTTTCCAGGAACTCAAATGGCTGCTACTCAAAATAATTTTTATGCCACAGAAGTGTATCCTGAACCCCTTCAAGTCCTTGTTTAGGAAAATGTGGGCTCTGAGGGCAGCAATCTTAGCTGGGTCCTCCTCTGCAGGGTCCCTGCCTCTAACAAGGTGCCTGACACACACATCCAAGGTGCAACATGCGACTGGTGTACAGGTGTCTATTCTAGGCGTCAGCAGCCCCAGATTCTCCTTCTAACCAACTGTTCATACTGGCAACATCCCATTGCTGGCATTTAGTGAGCACTTTTACTCCACGCTGAGCACTTGGGCTCAGCCTGTGGGCTTTATGTGTGTGGTCCATGGACTTGAGCTGTTACTGATTTAAGTCAGGGCTTACAACATATTTGAGAAAAGAATGGGTGATTTAGTTGATGTTCTTACTGGAGATCTTTCAAACATGTCTGGACCCCTATATGATATGGCATTGACCCTAAAAAGCTAGCCTGTGTTAAACTAAAAATACCTGACTTGAACTATGAGTGAGAAATTCATGCAGCTGCCCTCTGGCTGCAAACTGCAAAACCAAGAGGGAGAAATGTGAAGTCTACGATCTCTCTGAAAAGCAAAAAAATAGCAAAAGGTTTCCGGATGCTTTTGTTACCCAAAACTGAGTCCACCTCTTGGGAGGTGTCGAGCCAAAAAGATAACCAAGCCCAGGAGAAGGAAGGGTTTATTACCTGCAGCAAGTAAGGAGAACACCGGGGATCTTTCCCAAGGCAGTGTCTCTCCAAACAGCAAAATTGGGGAAGTTTTAAGCTAAGTGTACATGCATATTCATGAAGGGGCTATAGATTTGGGGTAAAGGTCGGCAGAGTTCAAGCTTTGGTTGATTGAAGTCACCAAAAGGTCAACGTCGTCACCCCTTAGGTTCCGGTTGATCTGGGGGTTGAGTGCTGGAGGGGGTTTAAATTCTGCAAAACAGCTCAAGAAAGTGATTCAGGCTAACCTCTAGGCCTGAAACAGAACTGGGAATCTTTACAACTGATTTATTACCTTTGCTATTGTTACTTGTCTCACCGGGTAACAGAACTTTTGTTCCCTTAAGATCGTTATTACTGAGACCTCCTCAGGGGTAAGCGCGGTGGCCAGGCTTAGATCCCAGAATGACTTAGGCCTCAAAGGGCTTCTTTCATGTCAAGAAATCCACGCCTGGCTTGCTTTCTCCGGGGACCCCCCACCCCTACCCTATCTGCTTACACTTCCGCAACCAGAACACCTCACCTCGTATGGCAGTCGTGGGTTAATCACTGGTTCAATGCGTGTTGGGATTTGTGTCTCGCATTTACTGCTTTGCTCCCTGCCTAGACTAGGGTGCCAGGCATGCAATAGGCTGTCTATAAACAAGTGTGGAATGAATGAATTCCAAGCCTGAATTTTCAACTCTAAGAACTCGAGAAAACTGAGGGCTGCGCCAAGGGCTCTCAGAAGTTCTGCATTAGGAAGCAGCAGGCAGTGGCATCTGAGAGCATCCTATAAAAAGACCCTAAGGGGGCTGCAGCACGCGACGCGCGGGGACTTGAGGTAAACACTGTCCGAGCATGCGCGGGATGCTCTCCTCTTTGCCAGCCAGCAGCCTGCGACAACTTTCGGAGCCAGGTGCAGAATGATTCCGAGACGCGCTTCTGTTTGCACGAGGCTTACAGCTCTCCAGAAGCACATTTTTCTAAAAACGTTGTAAAACCTTTAAAAAATTGAGCGGGAGGAAAACGGAACACTCGTGGCCCGTACGGGGATCGAACCCGCGACCTTGGCGTTATTAGCACCACGCTCTAACCAACTGAGCTAACCGGCCACTTGACTGCCATGGCCCGCAGACGCACCTACGAGATTTCTACGCCTGCGCTGTGCCGCTAGTAAGCCAAGCGCCTCTAGGTGGAGTCCGCCGCGCTGACTCCCATCCGGTTCCTGCGAAGGCTGGTGTCATCCTCATAGTCATCCCCCTTGGCGAGATGAAAAAACTGAGACCCTGGGGCCTTTAAGGAGGAAAGAGGTGGCTCCGTAACAGTGAATCAGAGGCTTTCACAGGAAAAATACAAAGTGCTCTTGAAACAGCTCAGGAGTAGAATTTTCAAATACTGCAACTCAGTGCTATTTTTATTTATCTCTGAGAATCCTTGCAGCGTGGAATCTGTGTATCAAGAGCTTTTGGCATGGCTAAATAAAGCTTGGAAAATGCAGATAACCTGATAAAGGGCAAAAGAACTTGAATTTCCCACCGCCCCGAAACAACGGCTGCTCGGGTCTTGGCGTCCTACTTGCCAATCTTTTTTCACTGTACAGGCGTATTAAAAATATATATACATGCATGAGATTTAATGCAACCTTGTTAAAAAGAAAATAACTTTTTATCTTGCTTTGTGTACTTAATATTCTATCTAAGAATATCCCTAAGTAATTGTAAATGTCGTTTTAAATGGCTCCTCCGTGTTTCTTTAAGTACTTTAGGTAAAGGGACTACCAGCTTTTCACCTTGTCTGCTCCTCTGGTCTGACTACGTCAAAAAACTGCTCCCACGGCAGATGCATCAAGACTCCCTGTTGTGAGCAGCAGAAGCCATGTCTAGCTAATCTTAACAGAACAAATTTAACTGAAAATGATGTTAGGTAGCTTACCCCACCACCAGGAAGGCTGGAGAAGCAGCTTTGGACAAATGGCCACTCAGACAAAACATACTCATTAAGCCTGGCAGTGCCCTAGCCCCCAGGAATCAGCTGTGAGCAAAACAGACCTAATCTTTCCTCACCGAGCTCACAGTTTGGCAAAGAAAGTTGTTAGAGTGAGTGGAGATGCTCAGCTGTTGTGCTGAGTGTATGTAAACCACACTGGCAGTGGGAGGCTGGGACACCTGACTGTGTTCCGAAGGACAAGGACAGATAAGTGTAAGCCAAAAAGGGTAGAGCTCCCTGGGTAGACTGAACTGCCAATGATGGCAGGCATCTGGTCCATTTTGCTTACAGCTGAGTGCCCAGAGCCTAGCACACTGTCTGGAGTAATATATGTTTAATAAAAAGAGGTCAGGTGGATAAATGAGCAAATTCCAAAATTAATTACACTTTAAAACAAAGTTCCATAAAGTCATTTCTCTCAGTTCAAACTCTCCTCTACTGGCCCCGCCCTGACAGAGTTGCCTGATTTAGCAAATAATTTCGTATTTACTTATTTCAGACATAATTATACTAAATCAGTATTAGCTGCTGATCTGGAATTCAACTGGGCATCCTGTACTGTATCCAGCTATCCCACAGCCCGAGAGTAACAGCCATTTGAAGACCCCACCTAACCTGTTCCCTTCCCCTCCCTGT